ATATATATATTTATTTAATAGTTTAAAATAAACTTTTACGAACTATTGATATTTATGATTAAACTTAAATAAATCAATTTCGTCAATTTTCACCGATTAATAAATAGTATAATATAAAAATAAATTAAAAATAAATTGTATCAAATTTTCTTAGGATAAATTATATACTATTGATATATTTAAAAAATAAATTGTATCAAATTTTCGCAAGATTAATAAATTATATACTATTGATATATTTAAAAATAAATTGTATTAAATTTTTGCAAGATTAATAAATTATATACTATTGATATATTTAAAAATAAAAAAATAAATTAATTGATATATTATTTAGAAATAAATTGTATCAATTTTTGCAATCTCTTTATTAACCGATTAAAATAAATAGTTTAATTTATCTAATTGTGGTAATATTCACACAATTCAATTCTGATGTATACAATAATTAATCGCAAAGCCAATTGATCAAATTTTCTTGCAAACCAACTGATTGATATATTTTAAAGAATTAATTGTAAATAAGCTAACTGATTGATGTATTTTGAGGAAATTTTGATTACAAATTGACGGATTGAAGATGACAAAATCAAAAAAAAATCGCATTAATAAAGATCGTACGAAAGTTACTGATAGTGCACCTAAAACTAGAAAATTTGTCGAATGCAATTGTTTGTTGCATTGTGGTGGTGGTAAGTTAGTGGATCCCAGAACATTCAGAAGACATCAAGAAGAAGTTAACTGACTTCAAACAATTGCTTCTGGATCTTAGAGTTCTTCTCAACTAAAAGGTACCAGGAACGAACTGTATAGTGTAGAATCACCTTCAGATGAAAAAGGAAAAAAAAGAATTAGAGTGGTAGAGAATACATCAGATGATGATGATGGCGATGATGATGATGATGGTGATGATGGTAATGAATCTCCCAATGAAAGAGGAAAAAGAAGAATTAGAGCGGTAGAATATTTATTAGATGATGATGATGAATCACCTCTAAGCGATAATGAACCAATGCCAGAGAAACCAGAAAGATGAAAGCGTACCAATAAAATTGACGATATGATTTCTGATGATGACGATAATGATAGATCTTTGACCGACAGGTCTTTAACAGAAAGTGACGCTAATGAATCCTTAACAGAAGATGATGATGAAACTTCTGAGGTATTTGGAGATGATGACCGTGATTTAAGTGAAGATGAAGTTCTGATCGAACAATTTACAGCTCCCAATTTTGATGACTATGATTATGAATCAGATCTTAGAAATCTTAACACAAACATTGACTTTAACGATTCGGGGATACTTTTGTGGATATTCAAATATCAGGTGAGATTTTGTCTTCCTGATGTTGCCATCAATAAACTTATTAAATTATTTAAGATAGTTTTATCAGATGTTGATAAATGACGATTTGAAAAATTCCCTACATCATCTTATTTGGCGAAAAAACTTTAAAAGATTGTTAAGTAAGAAAAGACATACGCAGTATGTCTAGATTGTAATACTTTGTATAAAGTTTCAGAAATTTTAATACAAAATCAAAATGTAGAGTTCAGATGTACCCATGTGGAGTTTCTGAATTATTTAAAGCACAGCAAAAGACAAGTTTGCAGAGTAAAATTAACAAATAAGGTCCCGATAGTTAAGGGATTTGCCAGAAAACCTAAAATGTTATTTCTGATACCTTCTCTAAAAACCTAAATAATATCAATATATCAGCGCCCAGGTTTTGTAGAGTCACTTCAAAAATAGACAAATCGAGTTAATATAGCAAATTTATATACTAATATTTATGATGGAGAAGTATGGAAAACATTTCCGTCTTCCCTAGACAACCCGGATACTCGATTTTTTACAAATGAGACAGCCGATTCTAATCTTGGGATCATGATTAATTTAGACTGGTTCCAACCATTTAATTCGTCAGCTTACAACTCCGGTATTATCTATGGAGTCATATGTAATCTTCCCCGTGATATTAGATTTAAATGAGAAAATATGCTATATCTTGGACTTCTACTAGGACCGGAAGAGATAAAATTACACAAGATAAATCATTATCTTAGTCCAATTGTTGACGAATTGTTAGAATTCTGGGATGGTGTTGATTTACCTTCCACCGATTTGCATCCAACTGGTAAAAGAATCTGGATGGCAGTAATTTGCTGCAGCAATGACATACCGGCTGCTAGAAAATTATGCGATCATATTTCAGCATTAGTTGGCTGCCATCGATGCTATAAAATAGCTAACATTAGCGGAAGAAAGCTTAATTACGGATGGTTTGATGACATGACCGAGTGGTTCATGCAAAAAGATCTAAATGAACATCAACGCAATGCTGAACGTTGACGGTTATGTAAATCTAAGTATGAAAGAAAAAAATATGTTTCCAAAACTCACGTACGTTGGTCAGAGTTGTTAAGATTGCCGTATTTCAACCTGATCAGATTTCTTGTGGTTGATCCAATGCATAATTTATTTTTGTGAATCGCGCATTAGATCGTAAAAAGGTTGTGGATAGATGGCAGAAAAATAACAAAAACCCATCTTAAATTGATGGAAAAAAGAGCAAAAAAGATCCAAGTTCCGGTTGATTTAGGAAAGATACCTTCTAAAATAGCAACCGGAGAAGGATTTTCTGGATATACAGCTGATCAATGGAAATCGTTTATTATGATTTATGCAACACCGATTATGTGGGATCTTTTGGACGAGGCTGATCAAAAAATTTTAGCAAATTTTGTAAAAGCCTGTACTTTGCTTGTTTGTCAAATTGTTAACAAAAGCGCACTGCTCGAAGATCATTACCAACTGACCAAGTAGCTCGTTTAATTGAGAAAAATTACGGACAGGAGAAAATAACTCCAAATATCTATTTATCTCTCCACATCATTGAATGTTGCCAAGATTATGGACCGCCTTATTCGTTCTGGTGTTATTCATTTGAATGAATGAATGGCGTATTAGGTAAAACACGTTGATTGTTAAAAATCAAAATTTCTAATTGGCAAATTGGTAACAGATAAACTTATTGTTTAAATAAATTCCCTTCCTAATAGTAAATGTACTATTGAATTAGAATTGTTGTGAATCATCGTGTAAAATTCGCAGTTAGACAGCTTAATATCTGCCCAATCAGATAATGCAAAATTGATGAATGCATTACCTTTGGTTCAATCTTGATTAACAACTGGAAGTTTAGCAGCTTATGATGGGTTTGATTTTAATGAACTTTACCATTTTATGCAAAATTTTCATTAAAATATCAATAACACGATTACTACTGGTAGCGAAGAATTTCCAGGAGAGATGCTTACTCCAAGAAATCAAGTATTGTTACTAAATACCACATATGAACTATTGGTGAAATATTATAATGATATATATGATTGGAATTTTACATCAATTGCTGATTTAGCTTCGAGTGATTTAGCGTCAGGAGATTCCAATCAATCAATCGTTGTATTGCCAATCGTAATCCAGTTTGGTCGTATTCAGATTGCTGCCAAAATTTTTGGGTCAAAAAGTACACCCCGATATTAAAGAAGTTCATATATTCTGGCCAAATTTATACAGGACGATGAGTCCATAGACATTTACTTTGGTCATGTTCAGTATTATTTCGAGCATACAGTACAGCTGCCAATCGGTCCTAAGATGCATCAGCTCGCTTTTGTCAACTGGTATTTATGGGTACCAAATGAGAAAACAAGGTTTCATTGCAGAATCGGCAATTGGGATGATAAAAGTTGCAACGTTGAATTGTGGAAATATGATTTCCACGAATTATCTAGAGATGCCATCATGCCGATTTATAGTCGATTCTTACCTAGCAAATTTACAGTTGGCACACGAAATCCAACTACTTATATGGCAGTCATACCAATTAATAGACAATTTCATTTGTAATAAAATAGAGTTCATTTACGTTTAAAATAAAAATAAATTTATAATTTACTAACAATCGGATTACAATTTGTTTTAAATTTATAAATTACTAACAATCGGTCACTATTTGTTTTAAAAAGAGCAATTGGTAAATTTAAACTAAACGATAGTTATCAATCGGTAAATTTAAACTAAAAGATAGTTATCAATCAGGTATTAATCTGATTGATACCCAATTGAAGTGTATACCAATTTCTAATTATTGAATAAATCAGGTGACCGATCAAAAAAAAGTTACCAATCGGGTAGGTACCCGATTAGTCAGCGTTTTACCTGTGTTAGTAATAACTTTAACTCCTTAAAATAATTAATATAGATTTTAAAGTAATTTATTTATATTGAATCATATGATATTTTTCTATTTTTATTTAAGGAGTTGAATAAACAGGTTTTTAACTTGATTTTTTACTGGTTTTTGAAAAATTTAAAATATCA